GTTTTCTGGGACTCACCAACAGTTTGCGTTCCTGGTCTGAAATGTCCTCTCCCCCTACACTGTTTCTATGTGTCCCAACAAGGAAGATTGGAGGTGACTTCTGGTCCAACCTGACGTGATGCGGAGAAGCATTCTCCTTAGTGTAGGTATACACTGATTGCATCCAGAAATCCAGATACTGAAGGGGCGTCATTGTCCAGGCACTCTGTGCCTGCCGGCAGAAACAAGACACAACACAGAAATTACAAAGTCTTGGGAAGCCACCCCACGCTCAACAATTCCAATAAATGAGACTCATGTTTCTCTGTACCATTACATTTACAGCTTAATTTATGCATAGAAAGAAAATGCTTATAAATACAATTGTGCATGGTTTCATTGCTCAATAAGATTCCAAGTTAATTTCTTTTCAACCAACTCTTAAATTACATACAAGGAGTGAAAGCAATTCCACCAAGGTCACTGAAAATTTTGTATCACCAACATTTGAACTCAGTAAGAGCATGGAAAGAGACTAAACCAAATGTGTGCATGGGTAGGGGGTATGAGGCCCATCAGAAAGTCTTGATTCTACATTTCTGGGAAAGTTTCTTACCTGTGGATTTGTGGAACAGTCTGGATGTGGTACTGGTTTGTCAAGGTCATGGCAGAGGTTGAATACGATGACATAAATTGCTCGTGAAGACAGAAATGTCTACAATAAATAAAATGTAATTACTGAGATTTATTTGAAATATTCATCAATTTACTGAAGTGTACACAGAACAGCGAGAATTGTCAAGTGTTTTTATTTATTTTATGGGAGTGTATTGCATATTTCCTCTTCAACTTGTCCAAATGAGTCATCAAAAGTGACTCTGTGACGGTGGTCCTTCAGTAACGTTTGCTGTTCAGCATTATCAAAGTTGCAGCCAAGACTTGAATGTTTAAAATGAAAGTCTGAGACCAAGGCATTTTCCGAGAGCAGGATCTGTCTTGTGACACACAAATACCAACATTCTTGTGCCCACTTCAATGACATCCCCATACAGTGATCTTGAAATTTCATTCACCAGTCTCATGCGTCATACATTTGAGCACAGAGTACAACCTGCACATCTCAATCATTAAAAGAGAAAAAATACTCAACAGGCACGCATACCTGATGGGTGGTGTAATATAAATCTTGGCCAGCAAAGTCCCAGATGCTAAGAACTATCGGCTCCTCAGCTCCACCAGATGCTTGTCTTTGCCTTAATTTTTTCACCTTAATTTTGTCCGCTATTAAAATTGCCAAATACAAAAAGAATCACCATCTCCTTTATTTCATATATCTACCTTTTCACTTTGTAAAAATTATTTGCAAATTTCCCCTAATACTAGAACATCTTTTGTCATTTGACTTTACGGTGACATAAGAGAATCTTTTCAACATTAAAATGCTGCTCCTATAAGAAAACGTGGCTGGGATGAAGAACAAAATTCTAACTTAATGAATGGGGTCATCTTTGGTCCAACCTTCAGCTGGTACTGGTGTGTGTTTTTCTGTCAAGTCTTTCTCCATTATTGCTTGCTCTTCCGAGGACTCTTTCTCCATTGTTTTTTGCTCTTTCGAGGAATTTTTCTCCCTTGTTTTTTGCTCCTCTGAGGACTCTTCCTCTATTGTTGTTTGTTCTTCTGAGGACTCTTCCTCTATTGTTGTTTGTTCTTCTGAGGACTCTTCCTCTATTGTTGCTTGCTCTTCTGAGGACTCTTTCCCTGGTTGCACAAAATCTATAGAATTCTTAGCAGATTGACAGAAAAAGATTTCACATGATGAATATCCCCTAAAGTTGCTGTTCAATACTTGAGAAAGTTCTCTAGAAAATACATCTTGAAAAAAGTTCTCTGTGTCCTCATACGGGACTTCAGATAATGCAGCAAATGTTTTAATGAGCAAACCGTCTAGCTTCTTTGCATAAGAGAACACGCTTTGTGAACATCAAAAAAGGTATTTGCTGATAGTATCCTTTATACATATCCGATATCGTAAATGTGATTTTCCCTATTCCATTGGCATTACCAGTGTGGATGTCTGAGCTGCATGTAGTTGCAAGAAGCACATTAATATTAATAAATCAACTCACATCTAACATGCTAATTGGCTCCTTGCAAGAAACGATTGTTTTTTATGGTGTTTAATTAAGCAAAAATACCTCAGCTTTAGTGTTTTGTTTCATATATTTTTTTTTAAACGAAGTTTAACTATGTGGTGTATTTTACATAACAATAACAAATCAAATCAAACTGTAAATCAGTTGATATGTTTATATTTTTCAAGTTTATTTTTCCGGTGAAAAACATTTAAACATTGCACCCATATCCAATTCAAAAAAGGTAAACCTTGCTTAGAAAACAAAAAAACAAATAACAAAGGGAGGTCCTTTTTCGAAGGGGCCCTTGGCCACTCTGGTAGATACTTTTTCCCAATGGTCAATTGGGTTCTAAATAAAATAAATGAGGAAAATTTTTTAAAAGCCAGAACATGGAAAAAGTGTTTATTTTAAGTACTGAAATATTAAAAACTCAATGTCAGGAATGTTTTTGTGTAATCAAACCTGTACAGTACATGCATGGACCTACTTTTCCTGCCCCATTTTTCCTTGATCATAAAATTTATTTCTGGAACAAATGTACTACCACAAAAACAATGAATGGATAAAACAATGGATTTTTCATACCCACATCAGTTGTTCATAAAAAGCAGCAAAGTCTTCTATTATCCCCTGTTGAATGTTGAAGTCTACTTCACTTGCCATGCATTGTTCATATTCCTCTTTGAAGCTGGTTGGGTCATGTGATACACCTGTCATAATAAAATGGAAATTTACAATTATTTTCGTAAATGTTTAGCAAAATCATTGCATGCTGTTCAAACATTTCTTTGCCAGGCAACATATTGAAAACGTCAAATTTAATAAACCAAACAGATATTCAATGTAACTAGTTTAAAATACAAACATTCTGGTTCTTAAAACCACTGTTTTTGTAAAATAAAAACAAATGACTGAACTAAATTGAAAGCCCTTTTAACTGAGGTGTAAATACACACATATTGTGCAGTGACATGTCCTGTCATTTGAGTCTGAATGATACCTCAATGATTTTACTGATCACTGCTAATTCCATGTAGAATAAATATAACAGGCAGACGACAGAAGTGTGAGTTCCAATTTGTTCTTACATTTGGGTTATGTTCAAATCTTCAGACAAAACCATTAAACAAAATTGTTTTGTAATTTTCAAATGTGTAAACATCACATTTATAACTTGAAGATGCTCAAATGCAAATAACTTTTCAGTTATTACATAACTACTATTCAGTTCTTTTATCACTAGAATTGCAAGTAAAACTTTTTAAGACACAAACCAGGATCCTACTAAATGTATGAAAATTATTATCTATTTAAAGCTTATGTATGCACATAACGTCAGTGAAAATAAACTTTCATATTATCATTTAGAGAAGGATACCATATGCATGTGCCCTTTTGGCAAACTAGTACTTTATTAGAGTGGATTTGGTGAGAAAATTGTCTGAAAAATTAATTTCTTTGGAGAATGAAAACACTTTCCAATAAAATAAAAACTGTGTTTTATGGGCATAAAAGTCCAGGAGGTGGTAATGACTACTCATAAAATTAAATTAACATTAATTGCCATGATTAACTGAAAAGACAATTTTCAAGCTTTTTATACAAAGAAGAACGCATGCTGTGACTTAAAAGGTGATAAGAAACAAATCTGCAAAGTAAGAAATTGGGGAGAAGCACCTGCCATTTTACTGTAATCAGATTTTCTAACCTCCTTCTTGGTGCAGACGCCAGGAAGTACATGTAGCATGCTTGATGTCAATGTTGCAAACTAATGACGATGTAATTCCTTCTGTTGATAATTCATTTCTGTTGAAACTGCAGGTCAGAAGCAAAATGCTTGTTTTTCTCTTTTGTGCTCTACTTTCTCAAAACAGGTTTTGAACTTCAAAATGATTTAGCAACAAATTTGAAAAAAGCATTTGAGACATATTTATGATTGAATGTGACAATTATACGCATTGCTTGTTCATACAAGCTGCCATCATGCACATATAGGTCCACATCCGGTTTGCCTGCATTGCATCAAGGGAAAAATGTATCATTTGAAGCACATAATTTTATGGTATGATATCTTTAAGAAAAAGACCTGATCGCATTCAAATGTTAAGTCTTAAGAATACACAAAAAATGAGCGATTTTCCAATTTTCTACAAAATACAGCAGGCAAGTTGAGCTTTACCAAATTTGATTGCCAGTAACTGTAATTGTCAAGTAAGCAACAGCTGACATGTGAGCATAAAAATTAAATGCAAACAAGAACGAGCCAATCAGAGCTGACTTCAGAGATCTGCTAAATGCCGTTGATTGGTTGACAACTGTCAGCTGACCGTACTTTGCTAAATATATCAGGTGATTGATGACCAGTCTGCAAGCATCTACATGTACATGTATTACATGGACAACTTCTGCAAAAGAACCATTCATCAATATGAACTCTTATGATACTTGATCTTTCAATACAAAGTCTTTTAAATTGTGGAATACAAAACCTTTTCTCAAGACTATCTGCATCACACCAAGGCAAACCATATTTTATGGTCCAACATTTTGTTGTAAAATGGCCAACACTAAAAGGGTAAATGGCAGAAATACTGATGTGTTCTAGAGAATTACAGGTAACTCCTTTTTCATGTTAATGTAAATCATTTTCAGTATGAAGACTAAGACAAATGTATTCCAACAATTTTGCTTCAAAAAGACAGGTCATTTTCAGCTTACCTCTGGTGCGTAAGATTCTTCATCAGACTTGTTTTCCCAACCCGCTCTTGTCCAACAATCATGAGTCGTGTGCGGTGTACTTCTTTACTACCATCTTCAAGTGCTTTTTTGAAAGCTTCCTTTGCTTTTGGCTCACTTATTTCAAAAGGCAGAGCTATATTAAAACAAAGATTTATACACGATGCATACAAATGAACTTTTAGTAATGATCACTATGTATGGAGGGACCTGATCACAATTCCAACATGCACTCCTAAGCACAGTTTCTTGTTTATTTTTAATGAAATTATTTTCATAATTTCAAGAAACCTACCTGATTCTTGAAGTTGCTGATTCATTACTTGCACGTGTCAGAAAAGATAGGAGAAAGAAGAATTTGATTAAATGAGCATCAACAACCTTAGCTTGGGCAGTTTTCATGTTAAACACAAGGCAGACGGATACAAAATCTGTATTTGTATGCCCTTTGAAAACTCTGATGAAGTGTATGGCTTTGATGGCTACTTAATTACATCTCAAAATGAGTAGCTAGATGGCTACACAAATTTTCAGTCGTAGTGTCATAATGTTTTACCTATTGCTTGTAAATAACCACACATACCCCCTCAGTAGTGACTTATTCTTCACACGAAATATATAATTATACACAGTTGTACATGTATGTAGTTCAACAGGGTAGGATACAATGTCCAAAGGAAGCCACTCAATGATTTGAAAGAGTTACAAATAATTTGACAAAGGGAAGTTGAATCAAAATGAATCAAATATAAGACAGTCCCTCCAAAATTAAAGTTACTAGTAGATGAGAAAGTACTCACAGGTCCAGTATCCTTGAAACTCTAGAGAAGCACTCCTTATAACTGGAAGTAAGTCATAGCGGGAAAGTACTTGTGCTATCCAGTGCAAAGCAGTAAAAAATGATATTTGTGGTATTCCTTTTAGAGTTCTGTTGAATGGATGAAGAAGTTGCAGAAATGACTTCACTGTTGTTACTGCATTCAGTTCATCCTCTGTGATCAGAAGTGCATCACATGCGTTGAAGACACCGTGAATGTTGCTTTTGAATATCGTTTCTTTAATTATTGGTATGTCTTGATCACTTAATATATTTTTAATTGAGTCAAACAGTCTGGTTGTAAGACTGTCCATAAACTCCAGAAATTCAAAAGTACACTGGTCCATCTTGAAACGTCAATAAAGTGCACAAGTTGTATGTGTTGTTTGTAAAAGAGATGCACCAACTTAAAAAAGAAAGAAGAGGTAGCACTCCTTGATTGCAGAATACCTAGAAAGTAAAATAAAAATAAACAGCAAGGTTCAAACAATCTTCAAACTATGTTCAAACAATCTTCCATTATTCTTCCAACAATCTTCAAACAATCTTCAAACACTCTTCCAACAATTCCTGTGTAAAGTTTACTCTGACTCTCTCATTTCAAGGAGCATGAACTGTTACTAAAATGCAACCACTTTTGGAATGGACCCATAGACCTTGGGAGGGGCATTTAAAAAGTAATTCAACTGACCAAATACTATTAATCATCCCAGGTGAATTAGTAATTTGCCCGAGCAAGTTACATGTACATGTAGTAGGCCCCAAACATTTTTGGCATGTCCAACATTGTAAATATGCTGCTGTACAAACCTGCACTTCGGGTGGTTCAGCAGTTCTTGGTGTTTTTCTCACACAAAAATAAAAATTGTACATGTTTTTTCAAGAAACAATTAGATCCAAAAGGTCCTTTCACTTGTCAGAAGTTAACATGCTATTGTTGCTTAAACTGACACATATTGCAGTCTTTTTAACTGATTTAAACCTTTTCCCCCAAACATACAGCTTTATGAAACAAGGGACCACAAAGGCCTATGAGGGGTCCAGGATATGGGGGAAGCACTTTTCCCTGGAGGGAAGGGGCGATTTTCCAGCAGCCAAAGCACCCATCAGCAGTAAACTGACAAACCATTAACTGTGGAACAGACTCAATTCCAAAATATTTTCATGACATTGGATGATTTTCATCACTTTTCATCTTTTTTCCCCCATTTCATCAGTCTTTTTACTTTCCCCTTTATTTTTTTCAATCTTTTCCAGGGGGACAAGTGCCTCACTTGCCCACTTCCCCTTCATATGCCCATGGAAGCTGTCAAGCACAAAGAGTTTCATAGGGGCAATGGGTTATGAACCAAGATGTGGTGCCGCACACATCACTGATAAACAGAACATTGACTGAAGCTGTTAAGCAGAATACATGTCCTAAGCTAAAGTAAGCAGAGAACTAAAACAGGATCTGACTAAGCAGAACAAATGTGCTTGGATCAGGTCAGGAAGCTTCAGTCATATCCCAATTACTAGTAATGTCAAATAAATTACTTTACAGGAAACATGGTAAAAAATCCTCCCTCCTCATTTTTTTGCAAATACAGCTGATGCTAAACTAATTTTTTTCCAAGTGGCCTAAAATAAATGGAAAACACTTGTTTAAATGGCATAGTGGCATAGAAAGTCTCAGGACCAAAAGTGGAGCAAGGGCTCAAAGCTAAACTATGATGGAAGGAATGGTTAAACTCTGCATTTAAATGCAGTGGTAGATGACTACACCTATGCTGGTAAGTGCACACAACAGAATGGACTGTCATAGCAGCATCCTGCGGTGTTGGCATTGGGCAAACTCGTTTCGAGGCAAAGCTGAGAAAACTAGCTTACAATCTTCTAATACAGTCTGAAGGGGAGGTAAAAACTCCAAATTAAGGCTTACTAGGTTTGCTAGTGTACAAATGATGAATGTTTATGAGTGCAACAGTGACAATAAATCCATGAGGCAACAGATGTAGGTTGATGTTAATTCCACAAGGCAAAACTGAGCAGAACAGAACATTCGCCGAATGAAATTAGGATTGTACGTAAACACGTTGAATTTTTGCTGTCACCACACACAGAGCTAAAAAAAAGGAGGCAAAATGCTGCAAAAGATTCGACAAAAATGAGCTTTTCACAGGTGAATAACTGTGACTTCACTTGTAATGATAATTTCTCGTGGAGGAGCAACAAAACTCAACCAAATTCTATCAAGTTTGTGTCAGCAATTGCTGTCTTCTGACCCATCTCACTAACTTAGAAGTCTTTTTGACATGTCTAAATCTTCCACTAGGGCATGTAGAGAGATTAACACTGACAGGGAGGACATGAGACCTACTTAGGTTAGAGGTAGCACTAGCAGTAATGTTTGTAGCTTTCTCGATGTCAGCATGACGTCATAAGGCCTTTTGATGCACCATAACCGGGTAAAATTTCACTTCTTCTATTCAATGATAGGCAGAACTGCACAGTCTGAAGTTCCTCGGAGTCCGACCACGAGAATCATCAGACCAGACCATGATCTTCAGGGCCTAGGTTTTCCCAATCATGGTTTATCAAACGTGTTCAACTGTTGTCACTGTTGAAGTGGCGATAAGCAGGGTAAGTCGGAGTGCCAGAACGCAAGGTGGGAAAATGGTCCAAGGATTCCGGTCCCAGAGACATCTGGCGAGATGTTCAACGATTATGTCCGTAACTGTAAAGTTACTTTATCGAACATTCGATGTACTTCATCAGAGGAAAGCAATGATGTGTGCAACTGCAAGGCTACGCCATTTAGTGACGGTTGCTCATTGTGGGGTTTCCCCGTATGGTCTGTGATTTCCGTGGCCGTTTTTCAATACTATACTCAATTCGGCTCCATTTAAGGCTTCAACTGGTCTTTTACTACCTGACTTTTAACTTGTAAGCGCAATAGTAAGTCTGATAGTGACACAAAATATTCAGTGAGATGCAAAAGAGGCAAACATTACAGTACTTCAAATTAATTTAGACGCTTCAGGCCCACAATCGGAAATTGTTTCGTAGACGAAGCCTGAGATACAGACGAAGTTGCGTATTGGAAAACGGTCCATAAATCGTAACGTGCAGTGCGACATCTATTGAAATAAGTTGTGAGGTGTAGCAGAACCGTACAAATCTCGTAAACAATTGCAAGGTGGAGTTAATCATCGCCCTATATATTTTAACCAAAATATTTAAAAGTAGTTTGACGTATACCTGTTACAAATGGTGAAAGCAAAGCTCCTTTTGTCATCACCAAACGTCAATTGGCCAAGTTGTCATCTCACAAAGGGTGTGTCCCCCTTCCAAAACTCAGAAGATACTATTAGTATCATATACATCTATGTTATTCCATGGAGGTAGTCCCAGGCAGCTGTGACAGGAACGACCCTTAACCTCCCCCCTTTTATTTTACATAAGTAGAGCATGTTTTATCCATATAAACTGCAAAAATGCACATGCGCACTCAACTTTATGCCTATATAAAGTCCTTTCATGAGTGCACAAAATGACAAGATAAGCACCAATATTCTGCAGTGATCCCTTCTTGAATGTCAGACTTGGCTGGCTCTCCTACCGTTAATTATACCTCAAAAATTCCTGCAAAAATATGCATACCCCACTAATTTCACAATGTAGAAGGGCTGTGAGGTATGAAAGTGGGCCACACAACCAGGTCCTGTAACCTTGAAAATACAAGATCTACTTCTCAAGTAACTGCGCCTCTCAAAATTCACAAAGCCAATGAACTTATGTCTTCAGCCAAAGTACACAAAAATCTGAAACTTAATGACCGTAGCAATGGTCAAGCAACCGTTACACAAATGTAATGCAAGCAAGAGTCAAAATGTAATTATTCTGAGTGTTGCTGAACAATTCAATAAAGAAGAATTTATAATATGTAGACTGGTTTTTGAAACCAATGTACAAGTTAGGTTTGCAAATTATGTTAGTACAATAAAATTTTGATGCTCTTTCTTACTAGCTGTGTATTAATTAAAAGGACACCTGAAATCTGAGTATCTTCAATACATAGACGCTTTCCTTAAGAGAGTAGAATAACATTTTATGAATCCAACAAAGATCTTTTAATTAAGATTTTCATTATCAAGAACATGCTCCAGATTAAACAGTGCATTTTTTTGTCTGTATTAACCCCCTTCCCTTCAAAAAGATCTTATCCCAGTCTGATGTTTTATTTTGGAATGCCAATTTTCTAAGAAAAAAAAGAGGTTTCAATTAAGTATACTAGAATATTATCAAAACTTTCAACTTGACAATCTTCTGATTTTCACAAAATTATAACATTTATAACATTATATTTGTAGCAAAACTGATAACACATTCAAAAACATTTTGTTGCATTGTTTACTTTCAACCTGTAAACGCCATGTATACTTGATACGTACTATCCAGTTCAAAGTAGTAAAATGTTGCTTTTGATATTCCTTTGAGAGATGTGTTGTATGGATTACAATTATGAAACATAACAAAACCTTTATTAGACAAAGTTCCCTGGTGAGAACCAAAGATGGCAATATGTTATACCCGGCAAAATATAGAATGGAGAGGTACCCCCTACATGTCCAAACCCTATACACACCTGTAGACTATTATTACCTGACACATCCTCCCTAGATGTCTGACAAGAATTCTGGAGATTTCAGTTGACCAACACAAAAGTGTGGCGTCTCTCTGTTCCATATCTTGCTTCATATGTAATATGTTTGAAAGCCTTTGTACCTGAAAGCTTTTTATTCCCCAGGTTGATGTAACCACATTTAAACTGATTCATTATGAAATTAAGAGTACTGAAGAAAAGAAAAGAAATAGCAGAATTAATTATAAATATGTACTTTTTATTTCAGAAACCAGGACACTTTCTAATACCTGAAATAATTCCACTTACGGTAAATGTTTGTTACTATGGCATTAAAACAAAAACATATGGAGCTGGTACTCAACTTCTTTTAAACTGAGACTGGCATTGTGTAAGGAAGTGTGACCATGGATGGTTAATAAATAGTCAAGGATAGATCTCTCCCTTTGTGCCAAAATTCTAGACCCTGGAATCACTTTGTTCTTCCGTATGATTAAAAGGATTACACTTTCACATTGTTTTTCATCTGTTGAGCTAAATATAACCTTCGGTCAAGGCACCTTGGATGCTTACATTCAACATATAAACACACACATAAAAAACACCAGTACAAGAAGCACTTTATCAGTTTACAAGTGCGCGTGTATCCACATGTGCCCTTTGGGAACACTAGTTGGGGGAGGCAACAGTAACCACGCCTCCCCCATAAGTTGCTTCATTGGTTGCG